TCTGTTTTACCTGACTACCCATATTTGTTACAAGGATGTTGTTTTTCATGGCTAAAATGGAAATATGTTTTGTATGACTTCACAAGTATAACTGAAATCATACTGTTTGCCTTCTCAAAGGGTAGGGGAAAGGAGGGAGGAAGAAAATTGGGAACTCAAAATTTTAAAAAAAAAATGTTAAAATGATTGCACATATATAACCTATATCTGATTGCTTAGGGAGACAGGAGGAAAGGGATGGAGAGAGGGATACGATTTGGAACTCAAAACTTTTTTTAAATGTCAAAAAATTGTTTTAACAAGAAATTGGGGAAAAAATAAAAATATATTAAATGTTTTAAAAAGTTTACATGTGATTGGGAAATATATATATATATATTTATAATATATATATAAATATATATGTATAAATATATAAATACAAATAGGCATATATAGATAGATAAATTATATATAAATAGAATATATTATAAATAAATATTATAAATATAATATATTATAAATAAATATACTATATAAATATATATAAATATAAAGTTTACATGTGATTGGGAAATATATAATTATAATATATAATATATAAATATATTGTATATAAAAATATATAAATATTATATATTATAAATAAACATAATATATAAATATATAAAATAAATGTAATATATAAATTTATATAAATATATAAATATATTTATAATATATATATAAAATGTGTGTGTGTGTGTGTGTGTGTGTGTATTTTAAAGGACGTTATTTTTCTCCCCTTCCCCCCAAACGTCGGGAGAGGTGGAAGGGAGAGAAAATAAAGGTTTGTTAATGGAAAAAAATACAATTATTTAAAAGTACAAAAAAGATCTTAAGTTAGAGTAATGAAATACTATCAACAGCATCACCTCATAAACAGAGAGAAGTGATGAGAATAAAACTAGTTGTTTTGTTTTTTAATCTTAGCAAGAAACTCACCTAAACAAAGTCATCCCAAGGGCATTTATATCCCAGGACCTCTCCCTCAAAAGATTATTCTAGTTCTGGATTCATATGGACATGGATTTGTATCAGTGGAGTGTGCTCCCTCCCCCCCCCCAAAAAAAACCCCCGAAAAAACTAAAGGGAAATCAGATCTCTGTTATCTCTGGCTCATTGCCTCTACCCTGGAGTAATTCCAAGGAAATCACTAAAACAAAAATTAAGTATGCCTAGGATTTCCCCAAAATGTAGGAGACAGGATCCTTCTAGAAGGTACTCATTGTCCAATATGAATATTAAGTATTTTTGTTATCGTTGTTTCAGTCGTGTCTGACTCTTTGTGACCCCATTTGGGGTTTTCTTGGCTAAGGTACTGGAATGGTTTGCCATTTCCTTCTCCAGCTCATTATAGAGATGAGTAAACTGAGGCAAACAGGGTTAAGTAACTCACCCAGAGTCACATAGCTAGTAAGTTTCTGAGGTCAGATTTTAACTCAGGAAGATAAGTCTCCCTGACTCCAGATCCAGCCCTCTATCCACTGAGCCAACCTAGCTGCCCCCATATTAGGTACAAGACAGTTATTTATATCATCCACTAGTAAATATGCTCAAGATTCAAAAGGCTCACAAGTATACATTAACACATTTTCAAAAAACATGAAACACCTCAAATAGTTCATCACATTCATTATACTCTCTCAATACATAAAGCATTTATTAAGCACTTACATGTGCCAGGTACTATGATAAGTGCCAGGGATACACACCACTTTTTAACCAAAATGGCTGAGACTGCTTTTTGGCATTTATCCCAGAAAGACACTGTCTGAGCAAGAAGTGAAAGGTGACAGACATCTGACTTCCTCTTGGAGACCAGACTCCTCCAAGAAGAATCTAGATCCATGTAAAATCCAGGACTAGAGTCCCTTTTGTTGAGAAGGGCCTCTGTGACACATGTCAGTGGAGTCAAACTCAAATGGAAACAGGAGCCACTAAATTGTACCTATGGATCCTTGCAGGCCACATGCTGATTTAGTTTTAAAAGTTAATATTATCTATATCTTCTTGTATTTTTATTCATTTTGTTAAATAGTTCCCAATTACATTTTAATCTGATTCAGGCCATGCTGGGGAGGGTTGTAAGTCGCATACATGTTTGAAACATCTGCTGTTATGTCCACCCTACGCTACTCTTAAATAAAGACAAACTTCTGGAGTCAAGGGTTCAAGTGTCAAACCTATACTTAACAATAATCTACATATTTGATGCTCATTCGTCCCTGAGAACATTCCTGGGTACATTAATTTCTGAACTCAGGACAATAAACCTCACTGCAAAAAGATTGGCAGATAAGTAGATCTTATAGACAAGTGAGCACCTAGTTAAGCCTTTTTCTCTAATATACTGAGGGCTAAAGGAGCACAAAACATCTGTGACTGTGTGAAACAACATGCACATAGGTGAAAAAAAACAAAAAATATGCAAAATCAATAACTAGCATGCTCTTCTTCCTCATTTCTGCCTCTTGGATTCCCAATTCTTTTAAGGCATCACAAAAAAAGCAAGAGTTCTGGATTAAGAGAACATGGGTCATAGCCCACTTCTGATGCTTAAAACCTATGTGACCTTAGATAAGTCACTTCTCTATGGGCCTCACTTACCTCATTTGTAAAATGAGTGTACAGGACCAGCTAACCTTGAGGACTCTCTCAGCCCTACATCTATCTGTAATCCTGCAAATCTTTCTAACAATCAAAGCTGTCCCAAAATGTCCCAATCACCGTTAGGGGTTTCATCTGTGAGATGTGAAACTTGTGTGGTAGTTGGAATAGATGACGTGAGGAATGTCATTTCAGATGACTGTGTGAGGTCAGTTCAGTCCATCACATTATTTTATACAACCCAGACTCAGATCACAACAAACTTAAGTCAAAATAAGCCAAAAGGTCATCAAAAGCCCCAGGAGAAACCCAAAATCAAAGACTAAGGAGACATACAATGAAATAAATAATCAAGTCTACTAAAAGTCAAATCTGCTACACAAGAAAGCAATACACTAAGGTGATTCTACTGTGTTAGCTCCTGTTTCCTCACCCTGCCCTGTGCTACTGGCCAAGGGGCAAAGGGGTCCTGGTTCTGCGGCCAGAAGCCGCAGGCTCAAAGGCTGCTTCTGGTGACTGCTTATCTGTGGAATCCAGAGCAAATCATTTAACCTTCCTGGGCTCATTTTTGACTTCTGTAAAATGAGGGGCTTGCATTAAGTGGCCTCTGAGATCCCTTTTAGCCTTTAAAGGCCTGTGCTAGGTTTGGAGGATATAAGGACAAAAAAAAAAAAAAATGAACAGTCCCTGCCCTCAGGGAGTTCACATTCTATCAGGTGAAACAACATATACATACATAGAAGACAAATACCAGATAATGGGGAGACGGGGGGAAAGGCACTAAGATAGTTAAAGTTTGAAGCTGGTGAGATAAAGAAAGGTTTTGTGTAAAAGGTGACATTTAAGCAGAGTATATCTAGAAAATATATCCTTTAAAATTCAAGAAAGGATTTAAGAATTAACTCTGATAAAATAAGTGAAATTAGGGAATAAAATAACACGACTTTCTTAGATTTCTCAATTTTTCCCCTTGAAAAAAATATACAGCATCATAAACTAGCACAAGATATTGAAAACCAGAATAAAAGATCTAAATCTAATTAGATTTAAATCTAATTCTAAATCTGAATAACTCTGCTTCCCAAGGGATAAATAAAAAGGCAGAAGAAACCTGATTGGATAAATATAAATTCAAGAGGTTTCAAAAATCCTTAAAAAGTATTAAGGAAATATAAAATAAGTTTACTTTAACAAATTAAAAGTGTGAAACATGAGTGATTTAAAAGGCTAGAGACATGCCACAACACAGTGCCACAGAGCAAGTACTAAACCAGGAGTCAGGAAGACCTGGATTTGAATGTTGCCTCTGACATTTTCTAGCTTTGCAACTTTGAACAAGTCACTAACCCTCTCTGAGCTTCAGTTTCTTCATTTATAAATTGAAGTAGTAATAGTGTACCATCTGGCCTCACAAAGCTTCTGTGAGGATCAAAGGAAATAATGTGAGTGAAGTGCTTTGCAAACTTTAAAGACTTCTACAAATGTCAGTTATTAGTATCATTCAGAGCAATGCAAATGTATGGTCCTGGGTTCATAGCCATGACAATTTTAAGTCAATTTCACTTCTTGAATGGGAGAAAGGCAGAGAAGAGATGATGGAAGCTCTTAAGACAGCAGAAAGGTCAATAATGAATCAAAGCTATGCCCAAACACTCACAACTTCTATTCTGAACTACTGCTGAAACAGATTCCTATGTGAAATACCCATCAATGACCTTTCCTATCTCTACCTCCTCAACCACCCCCCAACCCACTTTATGCCAAATTATTAAAAGAACCTTTTTGGAGACCATTTCATCTTGTCATTTCCATACTCAAGGATCTATAGTAGCTACCTATTACATCAAATTTAGATGCTTAAACCTAGGCTTCCAAGCATTCTACTAAGTCAGTCATTGCTTTATCAACTTCTGTGCATATCTTATCACTTTCTGCTTGGATCTTCGAATCAAACCAAAGTCAGTATGCTGGTCATTCCCCAGGAAACTTGTTTATCCCACTGTCTTTTTTATAATGTATCATGGCCCAGACAATAAAGAACTGGCTTCAGAATCAGGACAACCTGGTACCATCACTGACAAATACTTCCTGTTTAAATCTAGGCAAGTCACTTAGAACTCCTAAGAGCCTGAGGCAGCTCCCTAAGGCTGTAAGTTGCAGAGAAGGTGCCAATTTGCACTGTCAGTAGAGAAAGCTGCTCACTGGGAGATCCCACAATGAAATCAGAAGTCTAGTTTAAAAAAACTGAACTACAGTGTCCTCTGACCATGAACTTTCACCACTGTATTACAATGCCTGCCTAGTGCACTTAATCCTTTTTACTTAATGGATGCATAATGAATAATAATTAACGATGTTCTGACATTACCTACCTTTTGGTTTTGATGCCTTCAAAATCAAATTTATAAGTTCTGGGACATCAAAGTAAGCAGCATAATGCAAAGCATTCATGTTTGTCCATCGACTTCTCAAGCTGACGTCCGCCCCCAGTTCGATGAGATGAGAGGCAAATTTTACAGCTGTCTCAACATCACCTAAAAAAAGTTTTCAAATTATTTTCCCCAGATAAGAAAAACAGTATATTCCACTGATGACCCATCTATTTATCCCTACAAAAAGCACAAAGCAAAAAGGTTATTTTATAAAATATGCATAATTTTAAAAGAAAAAGCATCTGAAGAAGTCACAATTTATATATTTTATCACAAAAATATTTTAGCAAGATAAACTATTCCCAGAGTTTTTAATACATCATTCGTTAAAATACATCATGTCTTAATGAATATATTTTCAATGACTTGAGCAATTAAAAAGTGCTATTGAAACCATAAGCTGAAATTCACTATGAAATCAAGAACTGAAGAATAACTTTCAGATTCTTAATAGCATACTAAAACTTGTTAATTTCAAAATGATACCCTCAAAACTGCATATTTTTCACAAAGAAACACTCCCAATCAATTTTTCTTCCCTCCTAAGAGCCAAAAAATGTAAACATACACTAATTATATAGCCCTCTGATGAGACATGACAACAATCTTTGGGCAGTTACGAGTGATACATTACTCTCTCAAGTCTCTATTATTCACACTAATCAAGATGAAGACAGATAATACAAAAATTCATAATTGACTTTGGAATATTATTTCTGTACTTATATTGGAATATGTATTTGTTTGATATTCTGGGAATTCATTTCAAATGAAGCCACATTAAATACCTGACTTAAGTAGATGCTCTCTGTAAACTACTTGTCTCTAAGACCATTTTGGAGTGAAGAAAAACACTAAGCTATGTGAGCTATCTCCATCCTGGAGCAGAAAAGGTGGCTGGAGTACTGCATTTCAACGATTTGTCAAATAGGTTTCCAGCAAAGTACAAAGAGAGATCAAGATGTGTACCAAACACAGAAGCAAACTGCAGTTTGTAAAACTTGAAAGCAAAATTATCTGGCAGAAGGCAAAATATGCAGAATTTATCTTTAAATAATCAGGATCACTTTAAACTTGGCCCTATTTCATCAAGAATTCCCAACATTCACAGAATCCTTTTTCTCCATTATCAATTATGTTTTACATCTCAGCATCACTTCAACAAATAAAGTATGGGCAGATGTGAGTTTCACTTTTAAGATCATATGACAACATATTCTAATGCCAGTAAAAGCCAGGAATATGTGGTTTGATTTGATATTCTACCTCAAGTCCTAAAAAGGGAACCTGCTAACAAATCTGTTGTGTACTTACCGATACCATGAGCTCCAGATTTGCAGGTATAATGAAGAAGAGTCATATCAGTTAGACCATCTCTATCATTTACATTACATCCTCTCTTGATAATCTATAACCAATCAGAATATAAGAGGACATAATTAGTGTTATTACTGAAGTGTTGCTTTTAAATGAAAATAAAACTAGAGGAATCAAACTGATTTGCTCAAGAATGTAGCTAGCCTAACATACTCAATTTAGCGTCCGACTAATATGCTCCCAAAGAATTAACTTTTCAAATGACTTTTCAGTCTGATCTCATGAAACAATCTTTATTGTGATACACATCACCAGAAAGAAAGTAAAACCTACACTACAAAATAACTAAAAACAGTTCTCTAAATATGTTCTTTTTGACTTTCATTAATAATGAGCAAGCTCTCATTTCCAATGGGTGTAATGTTAACAAAAATACTAGGTTAGTCTACCCAACCTGGCAGGCATCTTATAGTCAACAAGTATTAATTGTCTGCTACATGCCAGGCAGTGCATTAAGTGCTGGGGACACAAAGAAAGGCAAAAGACAACCCCTCCTCTCAAGGAGTTCCCAGGCTAGTGGAGGAGACAATATGCAAACAACTATGAACAAATGAGACATACATAGGAGAAGCTGAAAATAATCTCACGGAGAAGACATCGGGGAGTCAGGGAAAGGCTTTTTGCAGAAGGTGGAATTTTAGCTAAGACCTGAAGGCTGCCAGGAAATCCAGGAGGCAAATATGAGGAGAGAGAATTCTAGGCATGGGAGATAACCAGTGCTGATTCAGTCAGGAGATAGAGTGTCTTGTGTGAGAAATAGAAATGAGGCCAGTGTCATTAAATTATAGAATATGTACATGGGAGTAAGGTATAAGAAGATGGGAAAGATAAAAGAGGGCAAGTTATAAAGGGGATTTTTTTTTGTTTTTTTATAATGAACTGTTTTAAAGCCAAGCAGATTTTATATTTGATTCTGGAGGTAAAAAGGGAGCCACTGGAATCTACTTATTGACAATTCTTTGAAATACTAACAGACCAGGCAAGTAGGAGTACCTACTTCCACCAGATAATACCAAAACTAAAGAAGACACAATCTGAGACAGAACCAAACTTAAGCTTTTCTCTTTAGAAAAAGATTAAAAAAACAGGTAACACACTAAAACACAGTGGTCAAGAGAAAAACTGCAACAGAACAAATCCCACACAAGCATTTTTGGTTACAATAGAATTACAACCTGTCATAAGGGCTATTATTTGTATACAATTCCATTAACTATAATAATCAAAGCCACTAGTACTGTGAGTTATGCACACAGACACAGAAAAAGTTTTGTTAAGCAGAATTGTTCCTTGAAATTATACTCCTCATAATCAGATTTTACACAAAGAAACCATATTTTCATAGAGCAGTTTTCTCTGCTCACTCATGCTCATCAAGAGGTATCATTGTCTAATCTTCCCATCCTTAGCAATAGTCATTATATTACAGAGGGCATTATTCCTACATTAGAAAGTATTTCTGTACTTATATCTTCATCACAAATGTGCTTGAAAAAATAATGAAGTCAGTTCCTGAGATAGCATGTGAAATCTAGAAAGATCAATGACAAAATAATCTACTATCCTGGAATAAATGAGAAAATATTGTTAAATTTAATTTAGGTAATTATTTTAGTGTGTGTAATTTATATCTCTAGTCAGAGAGAAGATAAGTTAAAAATCTAGGAATATAGATTCCATTCCTTAAATTTTATCTTCTTACCATCATTTTCTTTTTTTCCTTGTACAATTTGTACCTCTGATAGCTCATTCTTAATGAGTAATTTTTTTAATGAATATTTGGGAAATGACACACTAACCAAACTGCCCTAAAGAGAGGGTTAGTGAGGAAGAAGAATTAAGTGATCAAACAAAACTTGTCTACATACGTGGACCTACTGGTCACTCATTGCTCTACTTTGTACACACCCTAATATCCAAATGGCTCTGTGATCACATCATTTCAGAAGTTCCCTCCTTCTGCAGGGTCTAATCCAGAAGTGGGGAACCTGCAGCCTCGAGGCCACATGTGACCTTCTGGGTCCTTGGGAGGAGCCTTTTGACTGAGTCCATATTTTACAGAACAAATCCTTTTATTAAGGGGATTTGTTCTGTGAAGTTTGGATTCAATCAAAGGGCCTCACTTGAGGACCTAGAGGGCCACATGTGGCCTCAAGGCCGCAGGTTCCCCACCCCTGGAATCCATCCATATTTGTCCATTCTAGGTGACTCTGGTCCATGTTCTCCCAAAAATTCTCCATGAGAGGTCCACCCTATGTGCTGGAGGACTTTCTCACTTTCTCCCATCATCATGAAGGTATCAATGGACACTATAAGATTATGTAATATTCTAGAGTCTACTTATGCTCATCATAGATCTCCTCCACTGCCCTTTAAAAGGTCACCTACAATTAATGATTCTTTGGAGACTGTGGCATGACACAACTCTCAATAAGACAATGATGGTTTTGGTTTTGGTTTTTTTCTGTCAGAAAGTAGCCTCAAAGTACAAAAGATTTCTCAAATGTTACCCCATTTGCTCTCTTTTGCCTATCCAATTCTGGGCCAAATCCTCTGTCCTTTTGTAGTACTTATCCAAGGTATATTGGTAAGACTAATTCAATGGGCTGTCCATTCAACCTCATTCCATCTTCTGGACAACAGGCTACTTACAGGAGCACAGATTGAGAGATGAAGTTCAATTTCCTCATTTTATAGGTGAGGAGATTGGCCCTCGGCCAAGAAAAGTGAAGTGACTTCTTCAAGGTCACACAACTACTAAGCACCTGGGTCAGGATTCAAATCCAACTCCTCTGATTACAAACACAGGCCGCCTCTTCATCGATTACATTTTTCCTTTGTGATCTATTATGTCCAACTCTGTCGAGTTGTCATGAATCTCATTGAAGATGTTCTTTATTATTTTAGGGCTTGATACAATATCATCTGCAAATGGGAGTGTTCACAGGACCTCACCATCTATAGGGAATCCCTCTTCCATTTCAACCAGTCACAAGACAGCCTCTGACAGAGATGAGGACTTTGACAAGCATTTATTTAGCTATCTTATGCCTCATTTGATATTGATAAGAGGATGGATGAACAAAATTATCTCTGTGGCTGTACCTATTGAGGAAATCTGTGTGATGTTAATATACAGATCAAAGACATCTTAGAGAACCTTTCAGACTATATTTCACTCTACTAAACCTTTTTTTTAAATCAACAAACAGAGTAAGATCTTGTATTCACTACATCTTTCAAATTACATGACTGAAGATGCTATAGAAGGTCATTTTCAAAAATCTTCCTGTCCTTTTCTCATAGTTTCATCAATGACACCCTTGCTAATTCTCATGTATTTCGGAGAAATGAGAAATTAGGTATGAAAGTCAATAGTTACCAATGTTCCCTTCATCATCTTTTTTTAAATAATAACAAGTGATTTTTTTCTTTTCATTCAATATTTTTCCTCCTTGCAGACTGAAACTTGAACATAGCCCTCTTGATTTTTGAGATGAGTCTTTCTGAGATTTGGTTTGCTTCCAAAATATATTTCTTCTGTGTATACTTGGTCTGGCCCAGTTATTCTTCCCAATGTCATCAACTTCATTCTTTTAAGTGCCATTTCTACTGCCACTGCCACCACAGAAGGAGGACACTGAGGGCCAGTCTATATTTTCCTTTGTTTCACAAGTTAATTTAGATAAAGGTTTCATCACCAAATCATCAGCCTACTTGTAGTATGCCTCTCTGAATAGCACAGTCTTAAGATGATGGACACAGTCTGTGACCAGGACCATACTTAAAGAAATTTAGAAACTGTTAAACTTATAAAATGTTAGAAATTGCCCAAGCTTGCAGTTCTTCTGGCTAGATCCTCAAGACCCCCAAGTTCACTTCTGAACCATGATAAGGCAAAGGAGTAAGACTTCTGTAAATACAAAATATAAGTACTTATAAGTACAAAGTATAAATAAAAACATCAGGGCTAAAAGGGGATCTTTTATATAAAAAACATTTATTAAATGCGTACTATGTTTAGAGCACTGTTACAAGGATAAATAAGACATTGCCCGGACTAAAAAGAGCTTACAATTTCGCATGATTATTATCTTTCCTCTCCCAACTTTCATTTTATGAGAACTAAGAAAGGATACAATCTATTAAATAAATCTAATTCTGATAATGCTGATAAAAAATTCCCAAAATTTGTGTATTATATTTTAAGAATAAGTATACATTCCTTACCTCATTCCCAATAATGTCAATGTTCTGTTGGACTTGGGGAACCCACTGTCTTAAAATGGCAAATAATTCAGACACTGATGTTTTAGGATCAAAAAGGATTTCTTGGCATGATGCATCATTGGGATCAAAAAAAGAAAACTCTATTTAAAATAAGAAAATATTATTTTAATAGATAAGCAAAGAAATCAATCCCTTTAACTCATTATTCATAGATTTCAGAGCTAGAAGGAATATTCATTAAATTCACTTAGTCCAATCCCAATTTCACAAATGAGGAAATGAAGGCTCACAGAGGTTAAGGGACTTGCCCAAGCTAGTCTGGGGCAGAGTGAAGATGGGAATCCAAGTCTCCCAACATTGAATCTAATCTTCCAGGTATATACCACATTTCTTCTTCCAACTCTAAAATGTTTTGATTCCAAGTTTCAAATTGCTAATGATATCAGTCTGTATCTTTTCATGACACATGTAACTTTAATAATTCCAAGGTAAAAAAAAAGTACAATAGAATCTATACACAATGGAAAACCTAGATATCAGGAAAGACAAATTGCTAAGATAAATGTGAATAAAGGCTTATTTGTCCATTCGTGATGGTGAAAACTCAGGTTTCCTGAAAACATGTTCCTCCCTAAAAGAACCAAAATTTTATCTGAAATGTTTATTGGGAAATTTGACCATTCTACCACACTGATCTCCACCTTTTCAAAATGTATTCTTCTTGATCAAAAAATCTATTATGATGAAATACCCCTCAAAAACATTAAAGCCTTTTTTTAAAAGGTACTATGAGCTAATCCTGCCCTTCAGACATGTTGATAAGACATTATTACACCTATAGTAACACAATAGAAATGACTGCATATCTGTTCTACTTTTATAGATACTTGTTCTTGAGATGTTAGATCTCATAAAAAGCTTTCGGCCACCTCATTTTCCTCTTCACTGTCCTCTGCTGTTTTGTGAAGTAATGTTCCACCTCTAATGTTCTCTTATGTCAGAAGAATTCTAGAAGTTTATGTCATTTTCTAAACTGCAAATTCAGGAAGTCTGCCATTAATGCTTGAAATAAATACATATTTTTAAGTGAAATGCAAGTGTTGATACAAGAAATAAAGCAATCAGCATGGGAATGCAGAAGCTGAAAGTCAGCTATAATAAAAACAGAGCTTTTGGAATTTGTGCAAAATACTGTACATGGTTTGAGAATGAACATGCAAAAGCCTAAATAAAAGCAGACATGAAACAGAATCAGTTTGCTAACTTACAAAAAGTTAAAACTGTTACACAACATACCACAGTCTGAAGGCATTGGTGCTGCAGAAACTGAAAAGATAACCGGTGTGTCAGAACCTGAAAATAAAAATGGGTATCTTCCAATCAAAGAATTTCCTTCTGAGGGAAGATCTGGAAGGTCTTCTATGGTCATCCTCTAGAAAGCTACCTTTAAGGCAAAAACAAAAAACACTCTTATTCCCATACAGCTTAGAATATTTACCTCTGAAGTCGTATTTTTAAAAAAATTAAAAAGATAACCTTTTCCCCTTAATAATGGACCTTGTCTTTTCAATTTCCAATCTCAGGGCTATTTTTTTCTTGGTCCTTTCAGGAAACCAATCTGAAGTAATAAATTTTTTCCAACACAATCTCTGTCAATGACAAAGGAAATTTTTCCCAGAGAGGCATGGGTGTTGACACCCAGCATATTTCACAATAAATAATAAGTGAAACCTGTTTCAAAATCCCAGACTAATCTAGAAGGGTGGGGTTGGTATTCTCTTAGCTTACTAAGACACACTGACACAAAATATCCACTGGCAAAAGTTACCTGTTAAGGCCTACTACTGTGGAATGCTGACAGGGATGATACCTATCATCACATACTGCATGCAATACAATGGGCTTGTTTTTTCATATACATAAAAAACTCTTCTATGATGAATTTCCATTCCATCTCAACACCCAAGTAAAACTTTTGTGGAAAATTGCGGTCACATAATAAACTTTGCTTTCAAGTATTTATGGTACTGTCTTAGAGTCATAATTTCTTGTGGATAATACATAGGATCTCCGCTGATTCTGGGCCCTGAAAGAGTTGGAAAACAGGGACTTTTGAAACAAACTGTGCACGTTGCTTCACTGCCCCCAGGAAACATGTGAAACTAATAACTAGTAAGTTCATTCTACCCTGCTGAGCTACTTAATTCTGGACCTAGCTTCTGCCTGCGGCACCTGGCCAACATATAGAGGTGGAGTACTTGACAGGCTTCTTCTCAAACTGCATGGCAAAAACTTAGGCAAGAATGCCACATTTGCCCCCCAAGACAGCTGAGGATTCTTCCTGGGAGACATGCAAGGCTGAATTCAAGCAGCATGTACTGGGGGAGAAGAGCCTCCCAAGATTCGCTGAACACGATAACGATGATCGTTGCTCAGTCCTTGTTTTTCCTCTTGGGACAAAGAATATCACAAGGAACCTGTAAAGTGTTGCTAGGGATTATGACATGCTAGGCAAGAAACCTAAGACCACAGGTGACACTTTCGTCACCATTGCTGATTGAAGATTTGGGCTTCAGAAGAAAAAGGCAAACTTGGGAAGCAAACAGCTGCTTAAGAAGGTGATGATGGAGAACAGGATTTGGATCTCTATATTGGAGCTTAAGACACAGGAACAACAGGCTTTTGGCCAGGGATGGTTGTATCAGATAAGGTTGATAAAAAAAAACAACTGCCTAAATCATTTGATCAAGGGGGAAGGGAAGAATGGTGAGACAATTGCTTGCCTATCTCCAACAAGAGTATCATTGGACAGGTCAAGTAATCAAAAGAGACACTAAGAGAGACAAAATTCATAGCCTCAGTGGCCAGGGCATTAGCTGAAGAGTCAGAAGCCCTGGGTTTAAATCTCACCTCTGTCTGATATTGACTATCTGAGTGATCTTGGGCACTTAACCTCCCCTGGGTTCTCAGTTTCCTATCTGTAAAATGATGGAGGTAGACTAGATGACCCCTAAGGTTTCTTCCAGCTCTAGAATTATGAACTTAGGAAATGCAAACAGCATGAGAAATAAACAAAAGGAACCAGAGACCTTAATTCAGTAAGGGAAATCCAGCCTCACAGGTATCACTGAGATGTGGGTGGATTGGACTCAATTGGAATACAGTAACTAAAGAATGTATCTTATTTAAATGTAACCCATTAGACTGGTAGAGTAGCATCACATATTATAACTAACACTTATATCGTGCTTTAACATTTGCAAAGATATTTATTACATTATGTATGTCACCTCAGTTCAGTCTTACAATCCTATGTGGCAGATGTAATAAGGACAGATGAGGAAATTGGCGCTGAGAGATGTATGTTCATATGAATAAATCCACAAACCAGAGGGACTAAAGTACAAAGAAGATCATTTGGGTGACGTCAACAAAGAGAGAAACAGAGGCAGCATTGTGGCAGGAACGTTGTAGAGCCCCTGGGTTCAGCAAAATTATCACAAACCTGGCCTAGAGACATGTTATAAGTGAGCAGGGCCTTCACTGACACCTAATATCTGTCCAAATGTTCTCTGCTAAAAGAAGAGCAACCAAAAAATGTGTGATTTGCCTTAATGGTTGTTTCATTCTTCAAAATACAGAGGAAGGGACAAGGAGAACTGTTACCTGATCCTGTTAAGGAACTAGTTGTCAAAGAAGAAAAATGGCTATGACTTTTGAGTGTCCATGATCACACTGAACTTGGGGTCCGAAGGCCTAGGCTCAAATTCTAAGTGACACCTCCTGGCTGCATGAACATAGCCAAGTCACTCAACCTCAAAATGACTTAGTTTCCTCATGTGTAAAACGGGAATATTAATTCTTGCTCTACTCACTAGGTTGTCGTGAGAAAAGTATTTTATAAACCTTAAAGTTCTATAGATCCATAAGTTATTATTATTATTATTACTATGATTATTATATGGAGCCAAATGGCTGGACACATATCCTACATATTAGGAGAATAGATTTCAAAGATGTTTAACAGATTCCATAGAATGAAATTTTAAAAAGAAAAGAAAAGAAAGAATGCAATCCGCAGGACACATGGAAGAAATAATGTCCAGAATGAAGGACATAATAGTCCCACTGTATTCAGCCATGGTTAGATCACAACTAGGGAGAAAAGATATTGACAAGCTGGAGGGTATCCAGAAGAAGGCAGTCATGATGATGAGATGAGAAGTCATGCTATATGAGGACTGAGGGAAGAAACTGAACTCCTCCCAAAGTGAAAGACTCAATTATCTTCAAGTATTTTAAGGGCTACGATGTGACAGAAGGATTACATTTGGTAGGACTGGCATCAGAAGGGAAAGCAAGGATTAACAGGAAGAAGCTGAAGAGAGTAAGATTTAAAGTCAATGTGAAGAAAGCTTTCAAATAAACAGTGCTATCTAAATGAGTTGCCCATGACCACAATTCTTTGAACAGAGACTGGATAACTTTCTGGGGATGTTATAAAGGAGATTTCTACCTGAAAGGCTCAGATTGAAAATAGATGACATCAGGTCTCTTTCAACTTTGAAATCCTACACTTATATGGTGTTTTATCAGAATCTGAGAAGTGCTACCATCCATTCCTATCAACTGAGAAGAAAACAAGGATGATTTCTGTCAGAAAAATGGGATACAGACAGCTTTCTAGCTCCTTCTGAATTAGGTTCTTCATGTGGGACTTCATTATATGTCTGAAAAAGTACATTTTCACATGTGTAGGCAAGTGCAAATCACTAAATCACATTCCAAAACCAAATATAAAATAGAAGAATCCAGGTTTCAACTGCTAAGTTTTGTTTTCTTTTCATACAGATGTTCTTTAGAACTTTGACCTGCTCCATCTCTAACCTAAGCCAGTTCACTACTGGGGGCTGACCATACTGGAGCTCAGAGCCCTGTTGCAGCTCAGAATTCTCAAGTTCAAGAAACTGATCAACCAACCACAGCCTTCCAGGTAGCAGGGATTGTAGTAATCACCATCTTTCTCCAGCACTACAGTTTATACCTAACTTCCTGAAACCTGCTGGCCTCTGATTTTGGGAAAAAGAAAAGGAGACTCAAGAGATGAATAAATATGAAGTTTCAGAAAATAGTATGTAGGGTATGACTGATGTTTCCTTTCAGGTCAAACTTTTTACATAATGGCAGCAAGGATTTCCTCAGGAGATTACGGAGGAACAATATATTTTTACAGGAGAAAAAAGTTATTTTCAGCTTTAAGGAAAAAGAGTGAATTTGTGGAATGTTATTTTCAGCTTTAAGGAAAACGAGTGAATTTGTGGAATATTTGTCTATCTCTTGTTAGTAATTACCCATTTAAAGCTTGAGTTGATTTTGTTATGAAAAATTATGACAAACAAGAAAAAAGTTAAAATTACAGTATTTATTATTGCATCTACCCACATACATGGTTTACTAATTTATTAAGTGTAACCCAGTGCTACTTACGTGCTTTTTTGTTGGGAGGGAGGAGCAAGTAAGCACAGCAATTAACCAATCACAAGCATTTCTTGCCTGATGTTTCACTTTTGTAGAAATCAATTATCCCCCCTTTAAATGGTACTTACTCTCAGAGGAAGAGCTATGAGGAGCAGAATAGAGCTGAGGATCCCCTGGGAGGGAAAGAGGAGAAGCCAGGACTACCCCTGTAAGAATCCTAGCATTACAGCAGAGTTTAGGATGTTATGATGGAGTGTGGTTATGCTTTAACAGTATTATTGATGTTAATGGTGGCAATATTATGCAAGTAATGACTGTACATGAAACAGATAACTATAGCTGACAACTATTGAGTGAGGTGGTATTACTTCTAAGTTACTGACAGATACCCCTTAGCAACCAGAGTATCGTCATCAGTTCATACCCCCCAAGCTTCAATTTGGAAAACACTATGAGAGAATTCCAGTCTAGTTTCATCACTCCTGAATACCACAATCCTACAATGTTGCTCTGAGGGACTGCCTCAAGGAAGCTTGGCCAATGCCTACTTAAGAATTCTAATCTAAGTAGAACACAGGTTTCACCAAGATAGTTTAGATATGCCACTAAAGAGTAGTTCTGGAAGGAGGCCACATTTTGTGTCTGCCAGAATCTAGGGGTTTCCAGTCATATTCACAGAGAATTGTATATATCAGACTCCTTTACTCAAAATGCTAAGTATTTCACTAATCATGATTCTTTATTATCCCCAAGAAATCCCAAAGCAGTTCGTCCAAAATGGATATTTCGGTGTACAATCAGAAACCTGTTCATTTGCTGATAACACAAAAGTTTGCTAATTTATTTGACCAGCAGTCATTTGGTCATGTACTCAGAACTATAATAGTTACTGTGGAAAGGGTATAAAAGAAATAAATGTGTGTTCTTGCCTACAAGCAGCTCACACTCCTGACTACACACTCCTGACTAAAAAAACAAAACCTTCATACATGACAAGGCCACCTACAACCCAATCCAATGTTGTAAAATACAAACCTGTATACATAAACAATGAAAAAATGGGGGCAAGGAAATAATCACATTGGGATGCAGTCATTCAAGAAGAAGAGAGGATATCAATATTATAACTTAAGGACCGCTGATAGATTTTTCAGGATGG